AAAAGCCAAATTGCACATCTCCCTCCCACACAGCAATTTAAGTACAAAATGCGTGTTGCATATGTGTATAGGTATGAGGGAACTTCAAAAAGCTCATGGAAAATTGAATTAAAAGATCTTTATTTTGAAGAAAAAATGTTAAAATCCATGTGTGGTTTTGTTGTAATACACAGGTTCCATGAACTTTCTGAAGACTGCTTTATACATGGATTTCAAGAATATTTTGTACCAAAATAGACAGATCTTTTACTTAAAATATTTATTTTTTTAAAAAGACAAAGAGGGAAAGAGACACAGGCAGAAAGAGATCCTCTACCTGCTGGCTCACTCGCCAAACAGAAGTGAGTTTGCCTATAGCAAGCCTGGGTCTGTCCAAAACAGGGAGCTTGGAACTCAACCCGAGTCGCCCATGTGGGTGGCAGGAACCCAACCACGTGGGCCATCACCTGTTGCCTCCTCGCAGGTGCATTAACAGGATGCTGGGATCAGAAGCACAGCCGGGTCTTGAACACAAGCACTCTGGTATGGGATGTGGGCATTCCAAGTATCTTAACTGTGAGGCCAAACGCCCTCCTCTAAACTTTTCTTTTAATTCTGTTCCCAAGAACTCTTTGAAGTCCCTCCGTATGTGTAGGTGACTGCGTAGGAAAGGAGCGGCGTGCGACCCACTCAGCTGTCCAATAACGAAATCCTGGGGAGGCAAAGTGATGCAGGTGCTGAGTCTGTGGGAGGAGGGGAATGAAGGAAGATTCTTGATTTTGATTTTACTTTAATCTTTTACGTAAGACTCTGGTCAGAAATGGCTTGGGTGATATAAACCAAGATATTACAAAGTATTAACAGTTGTCACTTCCGCACAGCGCAATAGTAAGGACTAATGGGATGCTGAAGTCTTCCAAGAAAATGAAAATGAGAAGCCTGGGTTTCACGAGGAGCCGGAGCAGGGCCCATGCCACCCAGCTCCATTGATCACATCTCTCGGAGGTAAGGAGAGGGGATCGATTCCAGCAGTAGCCAGCGCTCCAGTGTGAGGGAAAGAGAAAGTAAATAATTTCTCAAACTAAACAGATGAAATTAAATGCATTTTTCATTCATTAGAATTAGAGCAGGCCCTCCTTGCCTTTATGAATGTATTCACGTAGGGTATGGATTTCTGTCTCTCTCGGCCTCTTTCTCTCATTTCCACTGGCCCATGCTGTCTTTTTATTTGAATTATCTGTTTATTACATTAGGTTAGGAACCCAAAGGCCATTTTGCAGGGGATAAACCATAAATACCCATTATCGTGATTATCTATTATTGAGCTGATGAAGAAAGACAAGTATGAAGAAATTAGATTAGCTCCATTTTTCTATAATCTATTTTATTGTAGCCTGAAGATTTCATATGCAGTTAAGAAAAGGAACCAAATCTTCCAGTCGGCCATTCTCCCAGTCCCATCTACACGGCTATGATGCAAGGGATACTGAAATGCGTCAGCCAAAGGATTGAAGTCAGCAGTCTGCCCCTTCCCTCTCCACTCAAACACATCTATTCCATTCATCATTTTGACAGTTTGCACAAGCAAAGTGTCCTAATTTTTTTTCAAGAGCTCTTTTCACAAATTGAGTGTGATGTAGAATTCATCAGCCCCGCTAGGCAGCAGTGGGAGGCCTTCTTGCTATGGGGAGTTTGGACCCCTCAGCTCTCAGCTGCATTGGGTCAGAGATTTCTCAGCCACCTCGCTCCCCCACTCCTCCCACAGGGGCACAAGGCTCTCTCTGCCTTCATCCTAGTGCAGGCTGGCCTTTGCTTCAGTGTTGAAAATATCCCTTTACTGGATCACAACTTTTTTTCCATTTTCTTCACAGCAAGCCATCATTCTACTTGTGATTTTGCCTTCATGGGACATCTCCTCCTGACCTGGTTTCTCACCACCCTCCCTGGATCTTCCAAAACAAAAGATAGTTTGAACCAAAGAGAGTTGGAAAGGTCAGCTTCGAGTAGAAAAGCGCTACTTAGGATCCCAAGCAGTGGCTGGCATCTTACTGGTTATGCTTTTGCTTCTGACTTAGATGTTTTCTAGAATAAACAGGCGGAAGAGAAAAATAAAGAAGATGGGGTTTGCAGGGGAACAGCCTGGGAAACATTGGTGGTGCAGATTTGTTCAACGTACCCTTACAACTTGAGGTGTGTATGTAAAATGTTACACTTTTGTGCCACCTAATATTTTGCAGGTGGAGGAGAAAAATCCCACCAAATTGCAATTAACCATTTTGGCTTAAAATTCCAGCTCTGTGTTGTTTCCCCCTTCCTTTTTTTTTTTTTTCTTTCAACAAAAGAGATCAATCTGGAAACTACAGCTCAGACCTGAAATTGTGAAGAAGCTGTTAGATGAATATGTACTGGTTTCCTCTGCTGCGCTTTCAAAATTATATAGATGCTGACGGGTTAGTGGAAGGAGTGGTATTTATATCTCAAAAGCATGCCCGTGGCCCTGACCAATATTAGTTGCCTAAGCCTAATGATAGCTGTACTCAAACAAAGACGAAATTGCTTCAAGAGAAACTTCCTCAACTTTCGCTCGTTACACGCGGTCTTGAGTGTCATTCTCTGCCTAACCTTTCAACAGCATGATAAGCTCACTCCTTTCATGAGCGAGCCTGGACGTGGACAGCAGAAATGTGCGCACACACATGCTGACTCGGTCGCCAGACTGCTGGGTCACCGTGGACGAGCCACTTCCCACTTGAAGTGCGCATGCCAGCTTCCATTGCCACGTGCAGAGCTGGGAGGGGACAGCTTCAGGGGGTTTTATGATTCGATACTCTAGTTTCCTATCTCCCATAGACCACGACCACTGCCAAATATTCCCTCAAATATTTCTAAGCTGTGAAAATAGTGCTGTTTTTTTCCATCCAACTCTATGGGTTCTCATTTTTGTAATGGAGATGATCAATGTGTCTGTTTTATAGCTTTGTGGTAATGGGTTAGGCCCCCTCCCTCACCCCATTGCAGCAGCCTTGAGGAAGTCCAAAGGCACAGGCCAGGAGTCCAGGAATAACACTGTACTGGGGAGAAAGGCAGAAGGACTGAGATTTTGTGGATTCCTGTAATGGGCTTTCAGGTTTTATGAATTCTTAAAAGAATTTCCTCTATAACTGGAATCTGTTGTTTTAATTATCAAATTACTAAATAGTATTTTTTTGTTATACAAAGAGAACAAATATTAGCAACCTTGATTTTTTTAGAAAATTTCATAGAAGCTATTTGTTTATTCTTTTGAACATGTAGACATTTATTCACTCATTGAATAATCTATTCAATATTTATGGAATACACAAAACAAGAGTACTTTGAAGCGTTTAAGAAAAAATTGAATTAAAAGATAAGTTTACTTTGGTGCAAAAAATTTTAAAATCTATGCAGAGCTTTTTTATAGTATACAATCAGGAAAATTATTTCCATTTCTTTTCTGGAATCTGGTCCTTGTATTGTTTTCTTTATAGGATTGTTGGGTAGATTATAGAATAGCAAACAAGAAAATGTATGTCAACCACCTGTTACTTGGAGACTCATGAAATAGTAAAATTTATTCTTGCTTCTTAGTTGGGAAAGACCCTTCAGCAGGGATCTTGAAGTCTAGCCTTTGTGCTCCAAAGACTAAGATTCCTTAACTGGCGTCAGGTGAAGAAATGCTATGGCTGACTAAGCTTGGGAAGGCATCGCGAGACTAAACTGTGTGAGGTTCTTTCCTGCAGAACTTATCTGATGGGCAAGTAGTGGTGTGACTCCTCCAGCACAGGAAGTTTTGGGGGATTTCTTAAATTCATTTGACCCCAGAATTCTCTTCAGTGAACCACGTCACACATTGGGACACGTGTTGGGGCATGCTAATTGACACATATCGGTGGAGGGGAAGACTGTGTCAAAGGACCAAGCAGAGCAGAAGAGGCAGGACCAGCACCAGCACCAAGCTCGCCTGTGTCCTGGCTCTGCGTGCGTTCACATCACTAGTTCTCATCCCTCCTCTTCTACCACTGCTGGCCCCACAGGGTTGTTGGGACTCAGGGAAGGTAGCTGGAGCATGACGCTTTGGTGTGCTGAACAATCCGAGCTACAGACCCAAGATCTCCCTGGCTTTCTGCCCCTCTTTCCCTCCAGGAAGGCAGAAGGTCCCATATCTACTTAGAGGCTGGCTCCCCCAGAGCGTGCAGGGAGAAGGCTGGAGTTGACGCCACACCCAGAGCCCAGAGACGCTCTGTCCCAGGCTACTTTCTGTTCTTCAGGCCTGTTCATCTCCCCTAAAGATCATTTACTTTTCCACTAAAATTGCCCGCGTTGCCCATTTCCCTGTCCTTTATAAAGATGGCCTTGAAGCTTCAACCATGTGGTCCCTCTTTGAGCCTCATAAAGGTTGGACATTAGCACATTTGTATGCCTTTTCTCCTGTTATTCTGTCTATTGCCCATTTGTTCTCTCAAATCTTTGTGGCTGGAAAGTTTATTTTGCTTCTATAGGCTCAAAGTATGGGATGGAGCCTTAAGATGGGACGAAGGAAAGAAGGGAATCGCGGAGGCATCTAGTCAAAGAACACAAAGAAGTGGTGGCTTCTTGTTAAGACCAAGTCTGTGAGAGCAGGGTACAGAACTGGACACTTGCAAGCATAGCGTGAGACCAAAGACAATCTGAATGAAGGCTGCCTGTTAATGTTCCTAACTGCAGCCCATCACACAGCCATTGCCCGCCTGTCCATATTTTATTGAGATGAGCAATTACATGTCCTGTAATGGCAATGAAGCAATAAAATTTATGTCTTGTCATCTTTAACAAGATTAGACATAACCCTTCTCATAAATGCAGTACTGAATGGAGATTTTTAAGAACATAAGTATAGTTAAGGATCCTTGAATTTATCCCTCATAGTTAATTAAAATCCTCCCCAAGAATCGGTAGATGAGAGATACAAGAACGTTGAAGCTTCTAATCCATGGGCGGGTGAACTAATGATTTTTCCATACCTTGCTTGGCTTCAGCTGGCTCTGGGAATCACAACATTTGTGCCATAGAGATTTCAGAAGTGCGGCAAAGGGAGTGACTCCGATTCCGGCTGCAATGCACACACTCGCGGGGTAGTGGAACACGTCCGTCAGAGCAGCTCCGAATGGCCCGTCCACGGCCAGCCTGAAATCAGAGTGGCCTTCAGAACACTTTGCTCTTGAGCTCAGAATCTTGCCAAGTCAGCGCTCATATTAGGATGTGTCTTCACGTAAGTACAGAGAGCTTGACTATGCGCAAGGGAAAGCCCTGTTTGGACAGCCTGGGGTTAGCATGAAGGTACCACCCCTGGTGGCCACAGCCGGGTAGTTCTGATCCGGTCGCCACTCAAGGAAGGGCAAAGCCTGCTATAGCTCACATCTCTTACCTGAGGCTGCCTCCTCTTAGTTTCGAGTCCATCCATCATGAAGCCTGGTGGAAGAGGCCTTCCCCCAACCCTGCCCCCCGGCTGTCAGCAGACAAAAACAGCAGAAGCCTCAAGGTGGTTCAGAAAGTTCTGTCTTGTTCCTGATATAATTCTAGCCTTTGGTCATTTGCTTGTTCATACATTCTTAGCATGTTCACATGTTAGCCTAATGGAGGTTTATTACATTATATTATGTATTATTATATTCCACTTGGAATAAAATAGTTTTAGAAAGATTTATCAGTTATGCAGAACTTCTAATATTCTTTCTTTCAGATTATGCTATCTTAAAATCTGTGATAAGTAAGCCAGGGGTAGTACTGATGCTCTGTCTTTATTTAGCAAATTTTTCTTTATAATGAACAAACATATTCATTGGATGAATAACATAGCCCTTAACATGGCCTCATGTAGACTGGCCCCTGGAATCTTCTCCATCTCTCATCACTAGTTCCTCACACTGGCTTTTCTTCCATTTCCTAAAACACACAGTACTGTTTTATGCCACAGGGCCTTTGCATGTGAAAATATTTTCCCCGTAGCACTCTGATTTCTCTGCATCCTCTTACTTGGTTAATGGGTGCAGTTCCATTCCATCTTATCTGAACAATTGTACCATTCCATTCCTTGTTACCTGAATAATTATCCATTCTGAATAACTGTCTTGAGGAAGCCTTCCCAGACGCATCAGACCAGGTTAAATCCTCTCATAAAATGTAGAACACCACGCTCCCCTTTTCTATGGCCCCATCACCATCATAATTTTGGTGCTTTTTATTGGTCGTGCACGGTTCACCTTATGCCTGGTGTGATCTCTGGACCCTGAGTCAATGGCAGGCAGCCAGATTTGTCTTTGCTCGTGCCTATATCCCCAAGTCTCACCTGCTCTCCAACATGGACTGACTCAGTAGCAATTTGTTGAATAAATTATACAGGGGATGTTTAAAAAATTGCTGTCAGCAGCACACATTTACATAGGAACAAAGATATGCTGATTAAAATGTTTCTAAGTCATTCATAACCATTCCCTCAGGGATGTCTGTTGAAGGCACCTGAGGTTGGCCCACTTGGACTTCTCTATGTGTTCATGAAAGTTCAATTGGGTTTATTTGAAAACAGTCTATATGCCAGACATTCTAATAATTCAAATGAACTCTCTTCAAGTTCATCATAATTATTAATGCTTTATTGCATATTGATATATGGAAATGAAAGAATACAAATAAAAGGTCCTTAACTAGGAAGAGTTAGCCTCTTAGCTCACTGTAAATTGTTTTATAAATAATTAGAGGAAGGGAATTGAGAAAAAGAGAGAAAAAGCTATCTGTAGACTAAAATGTCTTATTGTTAATTGTGTTGCAATTAGTCATTTTTGGGATTTATTTGACATGGATGTAAAAAAATACCGAGTAGATCCAAAGAAGAATTGTGTAACATAATCCACAGAAAAGACAGACGTCCCCCTGATTGGAACTGAGAATTTTAGCCTGGAGTGCCTGAAGCTGCCTGTGTGCAGATCTGCCCTTCCACTTCATGAGAGCTCATCGCAGTCTAACGTCAACGGCAGGGCACCTGGTTCTGGCTCAGGCCACTTTGGAGACGATTTGTCCTCGTGTTTTACTGAAATTTGCCTTCCCGAGTGGCACATTTCAGATCTTTCCCTTGCCTGCCTCTCCAGCCTTTAAGTAGTTGATCATAGCCAGGCTCAAATTGAGGGGATTCAAGTTTCTCCTGGATGAAATTCCTGGCTCCTGGTTTCAGCCTGGCCCAGAGCTGGTCACTGCAGCCATTTGGGGAGTGAACCAGAAGATGGAAGATCTCACTGTCTTTCCCTCTCTCTCTGTAATCCTGACTGTTAAAATAAATAAATAAATAAATCTTTTAAAAAATGCTAAACTGTAATATCATTAAAAGAGTAAAAAAAAGATATTCTTCATATATTGAAGATTTAAATAGTTCTGGTTTTTGAGGGGTTGGCATTGTGGTACATCAGGTTAAGCCACAGCATTCAATGATGGCATCCCCCACCAGAGTGCCAGTTGCAGTCCCAGTCACTCCACTTGCAATTCAGCTTCCTGCTAATGTATGCTTGGTGGCAACAGAGGATGGCCCAAGTTCTGGGGCCCTTACTACCCATGTGAGAGTCACAGATGGGGTTCCAGGCTCCTGGCTTCAGGTTGGCCCAGACCTGGCTGCTGTGGCTGTTGTGGCCATTTCGGTCATGTAGCAGCATCTAGAGGATCTCTCTCTCTCTCTCTCTCTCTCTCCCCCCCCACCTGCCTTTCAAATAAATGAATAAATCTTTAACCAAGGCTAGTTTCTTGGAAATCTTCACTGCTGATATATATGCCTACACACATAGAGGCAGGGTGCAAACCAATTTACTAATGAGATGAACTCTATCGTCTACAACAGCTCAATTTTATTCATTCCATAAAAATTCATTGTGTTCCTACTAATAGCTAGGGTTTGTTCTAGGCCCTGGGGATGGTACAGTGAACCAAACAGATAAAACCCTTTTCCTCACTGCTACGGTTTGGGTACCCCAAAGGCCCGTGTGTTAAAGGCTTGGTCCCCAAAGTCTTCTGTTGATTTTCAATGAATTAATGTTAATATCTAATGGATTAAGGGAGGAAACTAATCCAATTATGGTATCTGAAGTGGAGCCTTTGGGGGGTGATTAGATTGGATTGGGTTGTTGGGGTGGAGCCTTCACAGACAAGCCATTCCTTTCCAAGACACAACACACAGGCATAAACGAGTGTGCTCCCTGTCTCTCTGCTTCCTGACTTGTCTCTGGCCACCATCTTCATCAAACACCAGACCAGCGGGTGCCCTATCTTGGACTGTGAACTCCAAGCCCATAGCCCAAAGTAAACCTCCTTTCCAAGTAGCTTATTTTGGTTATTTTTTGTAGTGACAAAAAGTAGAGTAAGGCACTCAGGGAGCAGGAGGCCAGATCCTACTGGGCCTTGCAGCAGCTGCTGCGCTGCATGGACAGAAAGCCTGTCAACTACTGAGAAACACACACCAGCTTCTTGCTGGGGGCTGGCTGAAATGCTGGCTGACTTGTGAACAGAGAGGGCAGTTGATAGACCAGACAACTGTATACACACAGAGCAGTGGCCAGGCTAGCCAAACAGATGACACTGTTGACCTTGGCCACAGCGCGGGAAGGGCAGGAACCAGGGAAGCTGTTAGACACAGTGTGTGTGTCTCTGCTTTTATTCTTGGTTTTAAGCATTTGCATTGCATTTTGAACTTTGGGATTCTGTTACGTTACTTCCTTTCCATTATAAAAACCAAAGGTGCTAACTGAATTGTCACATGTTCCCCTATGATTTGGGGCTCTGGTCTGAACCAATGATGTTTAGAGCTGGCTTGACCTCATACCATTCTTTAGAAGCAGGGGTTGAAATGGAGAGAGGTGACTCTCTGTACCCACTAAATACACCCACACCCAGTGCTATGCAGGCACATTCCTGCATCCCATGGGAAAGAGGGACAACAAGCTGATTAGATTCTGTGCCTTGAATTTATTATACCAAATTAAATGAGCTAGAGAATCCATAAAGTCATTCATCCCTTGTTGAAATCTTTACTCTGTACCCACCATGCACCAGGCACCATTGGCGTGCACCAGAGAGACAGAGGAGCAGCACCATATCCCACCCACTCTCAGGAACTTCCGTTCTAAATGTGTCCTCACCATGCTCCCTCTCCGAGTTCCTATGGCAATGTCTACTGTGTGGTAGTTTCTGGTGCCCTCCCACAAGGACAGAAGTAGGAATCTGATTCTCCTTTCAAATTTCAAAAAAAATTACTTTTAAGGCTTTTAAGTTGACACATACAAACTGAAGATATGTATGGGGTACATGTGATGTTTCAACACATGTACGCACTGTGTAACGTTCAAATCGAGGTCAACATACCTGTGTCTCATTTCTTTATGACAAAAACATTCAAAATGCTTTCTTCTAGCTTTTAAGAATGTCATCGTTATTTGGAGTCACCAGAACCTCTCTCTCCAGTCCACTTAGTAGTGATGCTCCTTTTTGAAATGTGGAATTCTTTCAAAATGTTTCTCTCACCCTTTTTGGGTCCCTATTTTTGTGAGGTGCTAAACAGGTGACATGGGCTTCCTTGGCTTTGGGGTCATCATACAGTGCGGGAGTCAAGCCTAAGCCACTCTACTTCCAAGAGCAGAGGGGCAGTGGTCTACACTGGGATTCTTGGCAGTGTCTACACTGGGATTCTTGTCATGTGTCCAGGCTTTGCTTTTCTTCTTCTTCATTTTTTTTAGTATATAAAGTGCTTTTTAATTGACATACAATAATTGTATTTATGGAGCACAGTGTGATATTTCAATTTATGTACACAGTGTGTAATGATCAGATCAAGGTCATGGTCCTATTCACCATCAGGGCATTTCTCATTCCTTTGTGCTGGGAACATTCAAAATTTCCACAAGCTCTTTTGAAATAAATTCTCTCAGTCCCAGTTATTCTACTCTGCTAGAGAACATCGGAAGTTATGCCTCCTGTCTATCTTACCCTTGTATTCATTAATCATCCTCTTTCTTTTTTTTTTATGATTTTTTTTTTTTTGACAGGCAGAGTGGACAGTGAGAGAGAGAGACAGAGAGAAAGGTCTTCCTTTGCCGTTGGTTCACCCTCCAATGGCCGCCGCGGCCGGCGCGCTACGGCTGGCGCACCGCGCTGATCCGATGGCAGGAGCCAGGAGCCAGGTGCTTTTCCTGGTCTCCCATGGGGTGCAGGGCCCAAGCACTTGGGCCATCCTCCACTGCACTCCCTGGCCACAGCAGAGAGCTGGCCTGGAAGAGGGGCAATCGGGAAAGAATCCGGCGCCCTGACCGGGACTAGAACCCGGTGTGCCGGCGCCGCTAGGCGGAAGATTAGCCTAGTGAGCCGCGGCGCCGGCCCTAATCATCCTCTTTCTACTACATACCTTTCTGAGGCCTAGCCACCATTAGCCCAGTCTCTATTCTTTGAGATCAGCTTTCTAGCTTTCACACAGGAGTGAGAACATGTGGTATTTGTCTTTGTTGCCCAGGCTTTTCTGAAGAGGGTCGTACTGAGGGTTGAATTTTGTCCCCTCCTTGATCCATTGAAGTCATAACCCCCAATACCTTAGAATGTGACCTTGTTAAGAAAAAGGATTGCAGATGTAATGAATCAAGTTAAAAGGAGGTCATATGGGAGTACTGTGGATCCTTAAATCCAATGTATCCAGGACTTTACAAGGCGACCACACAGAGACAAAACATCCTTCTAACGAAGACCAAACTTTGCAAATGTGGTCTGCAGCCCCCAGACTGGTGGAAAAAGTTCAGAGTTGTCTTACTCATGATTAGCTGCATATAATTAGCTGAAGGATGCTTTCAGAGCTGGAATAGCAACGTGTTCCTCCTTCCTGGATCAGTGCCTACCTTTGTTGAACACTTTTTTTCCTTTTAAACAGAAATGTACTTGTTTCTTTTGGAAGGCTCCTAAATTAACAGTTTTATGTAGCTTCTCCAATTTAAAAAAAAAAAAAGCTCAGTTTTTACAACTTAGAATAAAGATATTACTGAATTTGGTAGCATGTTGATGCATTAACACTTTTTTTTGCAATGCTGTGGATTTACACAGAATAAAGAAAAGGTTTCTGGGGCTGGCACTGTGGCACAGTGAGTTAACGCCCTGGCCTGAAGTGCCAGCATCCCATATGGGCGCCGGTTCGAGTCCCGGCTGCTCCACTTCTCTTCCAGCTCTCTGCTATGGCCTGGGAAAGCAGTAGAAGATGGCCCACGTCCTTGGGCCCCTGCACCCACGTGGGAGACCTGGAAGAAGCTCCTGGCTTCTGGCTTCGGATCATCACAGCTCTGTTACGGCATTTGGGGAGTGAACCATCAGATGGACAACCTCTCTCTCTCTCTCTCTCTCTCTCTCTCTCTGCTTCTCCTCTCTCTGTGTAACTCTAACTTTCAAATAAATAAGAAAGAAAGAAAGAAAGAAAGAAAGAAAGAAAGAAAGAAAGAAAGTCTCTAACCTTGGCAAGCTACAGGGATCCTTCAGGTCCTGTCCCTGTGCCCCAAAGGCCTCACACAAAGCTTCTGTCCAGTCTCCTGCTGCCCGGATGTGCACACTGAAGAAGTCTTCGTGGGGGGCTGAGGTGAGGGTGAAGGGATGCCACTCCAGCAGGGAGATGGCCGGGCACTGGATGAAGATGTACTGCCCTGGAGCCATTGTGAAGTCACGCTTCTTCATGCGAAGTTCCAAGACTCCAGATGGGTGACTTATCACCTAAATCAGAGCAAGAGAATTGCCATAAATGCAGGTTACATGGGAAGACATAGGCTTTGTTCCATCAAAGGCACTCAAAATTGTAAGTTGGCTTTCTGGAGGTATGGTTTACTGCAAAGCTGCTAGCTTTGATGATATCTGCCACCACTTTCATGTCTGGCATTGCCCCTTGGGCAGGAAGTCTGCTGTCTCCAGAGTGCTGTGTTTGAAACCTGGGCAACTGCACCCAGGTGCAACGTTGTATCTGACATGTGACTGACACAGGATCAGGCCTTCCACAGCATGGTTAACCAGCTCCAGGAGATTATGTAACTATGTGTTATGTGTATCATTTAATTTACAGTTACTAAAATAATCACCACATGGTCTCCATATTTTTAAAAATCTAGGAAGAGTTCATTTTCTTCTTCAATTATCTGCATCTTTTGGCCACCCTTTGTGAATTAATCTGAGCATGAGAGGTCTTCAGATGTTGAGGAAAATGCACATCATTTAAAACTGTTTATTTGAAAGAGAGAGAGAAGGAGGAAGAAAGGGAGAGAGAGGGAGAGGGAAATGAAGAGGGGAAGGGAGGGGAGGAGGGAGAGAGACAGAGAGAGAGAGAGGTATCTTCAACTCACTGGTTGGTCGCTCCCTGAATATCTTCAATGGTCATGGCTGGGTCAGGCCAAATCCAGGAGCGTGGGACTCCATCCAGGTCTACCATATAGGCAGGGGCCTAACTACCTGAGCTATCATCTGCTGTGCCCCGGGCTCTGTACCAGCAGGAAGCTAGAGTCAGGACTTAGAGCGAGGCATTGAGGTATCTCAACTGGCATGTTAGCTGCTAGGCCAAAGCCAGCACTACACCCATCTTATCACCCATTCTTCGGGAACTTTTGAAGCCCCTTTGTATTCCTTCCTGCTAAGCCAAAAAATACCAACTCCCCCTGCAATGCTTTATTTGTTTTGTCTCATTTTAGTTAACGCTTGCCCAGTGTCCTCCCGGGCTCTGAGTTTTAGATGTAGGGAAGCACCTTGCAAGGGCTCTCACAGCTTTTATGAAATCCCTATCATTTGCTGCTTATCAGAAGGAAAGAACTAATTTATCTTCTGAAATTTTCATCCTATTTTCAGGGAAAAAAAATCTCCCCAAGCCACTGTATTTTTTTGTGTCAATAGGTATAAGGGAACAAAATCTAATATCTAATAAATACAGTGACAGTATTTTTCCATCCAGAAGCGAATTTCACAGCATTTTAATCATTAGTGCTAAGTTTCTCCTCTCCCTACTGATATTTGTTCTGATGCTGCTCTTAAATGGTCTCCCTAGTAACAGTTCCAGTAGGCTGCCACAAGTTTTACAGCCTGGCGTGTGATACAGGCTGACATCCTTTGGTGCTTAACTTAAAAACAGCAACACAGCAACAGCTTAAGGCAGAAGTAAGAGCAATTTCTATAGATCTGCTTTCATGAAGACGGTTAAGGGGATATGGTACTATGTCAAAATTATATTAACAAGATATTCTAAGTGTGGAGAGCAGAGAATTTCTTTGGACACGTAAAAAAGTGCAAGGGAAAGAGAGTTGAGCAGCGTCTCCAGGGTTTGTGCTCGTAGTGTGTGCATTCCTGTCTTCCTGCAGCCCACGGTGAACACTGGAGAGCTGTGAGGAGGGACAGCAAGAGTGGAACCTTCTACCAAAGAGCATTGCACTTGCTAGCATAGATTCAGTGTGCCCTTTCTCCCCAGGGTCCCTTTTCACTCTGAACCATATGGTGACTGCGTCGCTGTTTAGCAGTCCCAGGTGAGAGTGCACACACAACAATGTTTGATCGTATGTGTGTTTGCAAAATCTACACCTTTATATGGTGAAAGAAGATACTGTGATCAATGTGCCACCTACTCGCTCCGCTGCCTTTTCCCCCGAGACAGAACCAGCATGAGGAGACAGCCAGAAGATTCTCTGCCGTAAGCCTTTATCAGAATCCTGTGTACCGGTCTGGAGCCCTGATCCCTGCTTCAGCAGAATTAGTCACACTGAAAGATGCTCGGGATCAAGCAATTATTAGAACCAAAGATGAGCCTCTAAATTACAGACAGTTCTGCAATAAAAATGGCAAATTAAAAACTTGGGCTAATAAAAAAATTTCATCTACACTCAGGCTTTTATTCAGACATAAAGCTACATGCATACCTTGGTAATGACAACCTCTTGCTGAAATCGCCAGAACCTAATTATTCGTTCACAAGCATACAAGACCACGGGTCCCAAAACCCATTTCCAAGCCTGCAGAGAGCAGCAGAGAGAGAGGAAAAGGAAATGAAAACAGAATCCAAATATTTTCAATTTGAACCAAATCAATACACAGCATGATGGGGTTTAGACGTTTTCCTCTAACTTTGGGGCAGTTATCAACAACAAAGATGTCTCCTCATATTAAATACTATAACATTCAATTATTCCTTGAAGCCTACAAGCTTATTTAAGAGAGTAAATTCTCCTGTATTGGTTTTTATGCTTACTTGATCAATGCTGCCTTTATGTAATTAGAAATAATTGAATTTGCAAAGAAATAAGAAAGCAGATTGATGTTTATGTTACATATGATAGGGTCATAAATGCTCCCCGACTCAGCCAAAGTCAAAGGCTTACAAAGCGACGTTACTCAGCCAACACAGGACGTGGGAAATTAAATTAAGACTTTTCAAATAGTGAATTTTGGGACCAATAATGCATCGCAACTAGGAGGTCTCCCTGAACAAATGCACAGACAGAGGCACTCACCAACATAGTTTCCTAGCATCCTTATTCTAAGTTACAAATCAGAACAAAAGTCTCAGTAATGGTCTGAAGAACTGTGAGAGTAAGAATTTCTACTCCCAATTAACTAGATAACACATTAACCTTTTAAAAAATAATTAATTTTATTTCTTTGAAAGCTAGAGAAAGGGAAAGAGAGAAAGATATCACACTCCCGTCTATTGGTTCACTATTCCAAATACCCACCGCAGCCAGGAGTGGGCCAGGTTGAAGCTGGGAGGCTGGAACTCAGTTTGGGTCTCCCATATGAGTTACTGGGATTCAGCTACTTTGGCCATCACCTGCCACCTCTCACAGTGTGCATTAACAGGAGCTGGGAATGGGGGTGGAGCTGGGCCCCAGACCCAAGCACTCCAATGTGGGATGCTGATGTCCCAGACAGCATCTTAGCCACTAGGCCAAATACACACCCTGTATATTAACTGCTTAAGAATACAAAAGGCATCGTGGATGATCAATTGAGCATCAGGCTACTCTTGTAACAGGTGTTTTGTGCAACACAAAGTATCTTCCTCCAATAAACTGGAAGGAATGGGAGCTTAAATTCTTGCAGAGTTATGTTGGGTCTGGTAACAAATTGTCCCTTGTGTTATCTTAGGAAACTAAGGGGCAGTAAGATCAAACAAATTTTCCGGGGTCATGAAGGTGATAAGGCAACACGTGAAGTCCTGACCCCGAGGCTGAGTCCCTCCAGGGCCCTGGGCTGCTTCCCTTGAGCATTTACCATGCTATCAAGCTGCTTTCTGTTGAACAGAACACTAGAGACTCATGAACTCGCATAATGCATGGAGGTTAAGGGTTCTTGGAAATGCAGCCTGATTTTTCTTTCAAAGAAGAAACTTGACCTTGCGCGAGTTTGAGTTGTCCAGGGAGGCAAAGGTAGATCCGAGAGAGCCAGGACTGGAATCACGCCTTTCACAGTGCCTACAAATTTCCTCCTTAGTCTCCTAAATCTCCGAGTAGTATCTTGGGAGCAGGTAGGCATCTCATTCTTTTGAACTCAGATGTTTGCTAAACCCCTCTAATCAACACATTTCCGCCTCACCAGCTGTTGGGCTGCAAGTGTTCTGTGGACAAGTCACAGGCCTTTAGCATGATTTTTACTTCTTTTGAGATACCTTTCCTGTTTTCTTCTTTGGGGCATTTCTGTTTCCTTTGGGGCCTGTTTGTATGGTGCCTCCTCTCATCTATTAAAACCCTTCTCTGCTTTTTTTCCAGGGGACCTCTTGTTTGCCTGACAAAAGCTAGATCTGTGCAGGCGACCCCAAGCAATTTGACCCATTTATTCTTTTCTGCCTCTGCAGGGCTCCACAATGCGTTTGGAAAGCAGAGAGGATAAAAGCTTTCACCAACCTGTGCTGGGAGGGAGGCAGGAAAGCAGATCAGAGTGGAGAAGCCTGGGAAGCAGTTCTTGGGGAGGATGGGGCTGCACTGAGGCAGTGAACCCTAAGGTCCCCCCTGCTTGAGTGAACCGAATTGGTGTGGGGGCGGCGCTGTGGCATAGCAGGTATGCTGCAGTGCCAGCATCCCATATGGGTGCCTGTTCAAGACCTGGCTGCTCCACGTCCGATCCAGCTCTCTGCTATGGCCTGAGACGGTAGTGTAAGAAGGCCCAAGTGCTTGGGCCCCTGCACCCGCATGGGAGACCCAGTGGAAGCTCCTGGCTCCTGGCTTTGGATGGGCACAGCTCCAGCCATTGCAGCCAATTGGGGAGTGAACCAGTGGATAGAAGGCCTCTCTCTCTCTCTCTCTCTCTCTCTCTGTAACTCTGACTTTCAAATAAATGAATAAATCTTAAAAAGAATTAAAGACTTAGTGTGGAGTTTTCCAGACACAGTAGCAGAAGTTCTGATTTTTTCTGCATACGCTTATGGAGCTATTTGCAAAATTGCTCACATAGTCTTTGTGTGTTTTTACAAATAATTATTCACACTCAATTTAGAAGGTTTTAGACATCACACACTTCATTTTGATGGCATCAAATCAGCCATGGTCTCTGGCTTTTCCATGTTGATAAAACGGAATGGATCATTTTTCTTTCTATGGTTCCACAGAAGGAGACTGTTATCTTTAATCTTTCCTCTATCTCTGCCTCAGTCTAGAAGTTGCCCCAGGAGCAGATACCCCACTTTAGTTACATTGCGATGCCCTGGGGGCTTGGGAGTGAAGGAAGGAGAGGAAGGTATGGCTAAAGAGGAGTATTAGGAAATGGTCCAGCAGTGATGAGCAGGGAGACAGGAGGAAGCCAAGGAGATCATGCTCCAGAGGAGCTGCGTGAGGTGGAGCTGCACGAGTCTCCCAAGGTCTGACTCTGGTCTTGGGGCGACCTTCCCTCACCCTGTGTCTTTGGGCACATCTCAGGTTGTATGATGTCTAATCTTCCATTTTGTAAAATGAGAAATAGTTGGCAAAGATGATTATTTAGTTTCCCTTCATGCTCTGAAATGCTTGACTGTCTTCATCGAGATGAATACCCATATTGGGGATATGAACTTGTAGATAGCAATGGAGAGCTGGCCAAATGGGGCTTTGGGGAAGGCCAGAGGTTCAGAGCCAATGATGTGAGGTATAGAGAAGAAAATTCGTGGCCACAGAGTTAGAAGTGCTTAGTTCTTTGCTATATTTTTTAAAAATGATATTCATGTATTAATTTATTTGAGAGGCAGGAGAGGGGTACTCCCGTTCGCTCATTTGCTTCTCACATGCCTGTCATGGCTGGGGTGCAGCCAGAAGTTGAGAATTCAATCAAGGTCGCCCACGTGGGTGGCAGGGACTCAACCACCCGGGCCACCAGCTGCTGCCTTCCAGGGTCTGCACTGGTGCAGAGCTGAAATTGGGAGCCGGAGTCAGGATGTGGGATACTCTGATACGGGACATGGACTCCTAACTGGAATTCTAACCACTAGGTCAAGTGCCTGCCCATGGAGCTTTGGTTTCTTGATGTGCCTTGGCTGGGAATGACTTTAGTGACCAAAGGTATAAAATTGAAACTCCTTGGCCCTTGGTTGCCCACCTATTAAATAGAGAGGCAGGACTAGTTAGTATGTACATTTGGTACATTTCTTTAATGCTAAAATACTCTGTGGATTCTTAGTTTTATCTTTTTTCTTCTCCAAAAATACTCAGAAAGTCACAGTACAGTGAGTATTTTATGATAGAAATAAAACTACGCTGATTTAAAAGCAGCAGTAATGAAACTTGTTTCCTTCACGTTCACTCCTGGTTTTTCATTCCTTCCAGAAAATAAGAACATGCTGGCTTTGATTTTATTTTATGTGTGTGCTTATGAATAGCCTCTTTTTCTGCACAATAAGGTCTCCTGGGGGCAGGACCCACGTCTCTGAATCCTGCGTCTGGTGCAATGCCAAGTGCATAAGTGCCACTGGAGAAAGTTTACAAAATTGAGTCTGCCTGAGTTGCAGCGTCCCCCTGTATCACTCACACAGTTCCTTTAGTAATTAGAAAAAAAAAAAAAAAAAGTCCCCCCTAGATGATCATTTGTTAATGTGCTGCTTTGGCTAAGGAGGACCAGACGTCTTTTGGGATTGGATTACCTAGAATCCGGACTTCTGTGTCTGCCAGTGTGACTTTGGGTAAAAAAAGAGGAGGGCACTCACGGGTGGGAGGGGAGCCGCGAGGTGTAATTAGTTCCGTTGATCAGTTCTGTTTATTTGCAGTGATGTACAAAGCTTTCTCTGTCCCAACACTGGGAGGCGTGCACGACTGAAGGTGAATTGATAAATACTCTATTAATAAAAGCACCACGAACAAGCACCGAGTTAAGAGAGACAAAGAGGAAGAAATGGAGCCTTGCAAAGATCGGTAGGTGTGGTGCAGTGAAGCACGGGCGCTCGTCCTTGTCCTTGGGATGCCTTTCTAGTCAGTGTCTCTAAGACATCAGAGAGAATATTGCACAGTTCAGCCAAGCGGTGATTGCACAGCCCACACACGCTTTGAATCAGGATCCATTAAAAATAATGGGAAAGACTGACACCAGGAGTTTGGGTGTGCAAGGAGGTGTAGCAGGGCAGAGTTAACAGAGAGATGGGTAAGTTCCCCCCTCTTAATGATAATTAATGTCAGCACGCACTGCTGGGAGCAGGCCCTGGTCTGTATTCATGAGGTGTGGGAGAGTATTGATTTTTTTATGGCGACGCTGCAGCTGAAAATTTTAGAGAGGCATTCATGTTCCTCATTAATATGCAGGCTGGGTAGTGGCTACTGAGAGTTGAGTTTAAGACACAGACAATCTATACTGGCCATTAAAAGAACCACAGTCTAATGGGCACATCTATTCTGCTTCTCTCCACTTTGAACATTTCTCCCAGTAGCTTCATCCTTAAAATCCAGTGCTCCCTTTAATATATTTGAAGGTTTTAAGAGAAGGCAATCATTTATATCCTTTGTATGCTGATGGCTTAATTTCCTAAATCCCTACCATTTATATATTATTATATCCCATTATCCCAGTTTTTATGATACATATTTTGAGGCACTTGTTTCCTCCTACTACTTTAAATCTATGGGCTTCATTTATTTTCTTTCATTCATCACACAACTGCTCCAGACATTTGCACTGTTCCAAGACACCTGAGGAGAGCAGACAGGATTATTATTTCAATTTACCTTTGCCACCCACTGTAATGACGACAGCACACTCGGGAGTTCTCACTTTGGAGATCTGTGGACATTCTCATCCTCTCAAATTAATTAAATCTCTTCTCGGCTATTGTTACTATTATTATTATTATTATTTCAGTTATGAGAACTCAATTAGAACATGAAGTAAATGTATTTGACACCCAATTTTTTTTTGGCCCCAAAAGCTATAGAAAAAAAAGAAGTCCAGCTTGTAAAGAGATGTGACTTCCAGCCGGTTGTTACCCTGCGAGGTTGGCAGGTGACAAGGTCGGGAAGTGAGACTCTTGGTTCTTGGGGTAGAGAATCCTGAGATTCTTGCAAATCCCTGCAATACTGGGCATCCGCCTTTGAATGGAAGTCAAAGAACACGTTGCAAAGCTGAGTCGAGTGCTTTTGGCAGCAAACCTCTTTTAAAATTACCCATAACTCGATTTCTCCATTTGCACACTTAATATAGAGGCGGCTTTGTCTAGTGCTGACATGGGCTGCTCCTCTTTCAAGCATATAAAAGCTCGAGTTATTTTAACTGTGGGGACAATTCTTTTTAAAAAGCTGCCGGGTTCATTCTTACCGAGGGTTCCTTGCCAGAAAATCGAGGCATGGGACACTGGGCGACTGCGTGCCACTTGTCATAGTGGTTTCTACAGAAGGTGACATTGTGTAGCAAGAGGCTCTCTGGAGTTTGACCTCGAACAATCCGACTTGTTAGTAAAACAAACAAACAAACAAACACACAGACAACAAAAATAGTCACTGGGTTTTGTGCAGTCTGGTTACTACTCCACACGTAGAGTCCCTGCAGCAGGCGCCACAGTAACACTTCCACCTCTCGAAACCTGAGCTGTCACTCATTTCCCTCAGCATCTTTAAAAATAGGCATTTAAAAAGCTTGGAAGAACTTTGAAGATCCCAGAAAAGAAGTGCCCCTCTGTGGTATCCTGTGTTAAATTGAAAGTGTCTATATTAGCGAATTCATAATGAAGGGAAATTGTTTGAACACATCCTTTTGTAGACTGTTGAATTTAATTAGGTTTCATCTCGTCCTGATTGCTGATTTGGGCTAATTGGCTAACTTTGTACTGTTTGGTTCTTTTGCAGATTGATTTAACTTCCACCCCTTTTCATTTGTTTCTGAGTGCTTAGAAGTTTTCCAGTCAAGAAGTCAAAAGAAGGGCCCTGAATAATGGCAGTTTTCCCCCAGTGACCACCGGCAGACTTAGTGTTTGACAGGGTCAAACTCAGCCACTCTGAAGTGTGTCCTCAAGGTGGTATTGGCACATTGAAGAACAAAAGGAGAAGCCAGCTTTGTGAATGGAGCCCTGGACGTGGAGTCCCAGTCCTGGCGGGTAGGATTTCTCACCAGAGAATCACTGACTGACTTGGGGCAAGCTGCTCTGTCACAAACTCCTGGGGTGTTCCCCATCGGTACACCACACACTGAAGCAATGTCACCGAGGCGCTGCTCAGCTCCGCAGTGTTTAGGAATTAAGTAGAACGAGTTATTATGAGACTCATGCTACACGGTCCTCACAGCCTGGGAACTTCAGTATCACACAGACCCATGTTCCAGGTAGCTTGTGGAGTGGCGTGGCCCCTTTGGAATCATGGGTTGTGGGAAGAGTTGGAGTTAGAGGAACAAAACTCTCTGTAAATCTCCAAAGGGCAAACGATGCCCAGACTAGGAAGGCTGAATAATAAATGGGAGCCCTAAGCTTTAACCCCTTCGTTCCCAGGCACCAGGGACCGCGCTCTATTTCATTAAAAAGAAGCTTCAGATCGTTCTACAAAAGCTGTATCTTTTAAATTTTTTAAACTTTTTCTAATGGCTTCATCTATGCCATCCCATAATAGGGAGATTAGTGGGCTTTAACACATTCCAATAATCCTACTTTCACTTGGCATTTTGTATAGATTTGCAAATTACTTTTGCTGTAAACAGTAGCTGTAGAATACTTCAAGCTGAGAAGATTAAATGAAGCCCTTATCCCAAAATAAGCCTTTCAACCAGGTTAAAATGACGGAAAAATTTCATCCTATGAAATGTTATTTGGATATTTAAAATGTCTCCAGTGAAACACTGCCCATTGACATCCTCTTGTTCTTCCACAATGCGCCAGGGTGAGAATGCGGGGGACCAACTGTAGAGAGATACGTGCATAATTCCTGAGAAGGGAATGTCTAGACACATATAGGTTATAAAACAGAGCCTCATAAATGTGCTCCAGTGGTTAACAGCCCCTGCATGGGGAGAAGAATCTGGAGCAGAAGTGATAGGGTGATCCTGCAGGCGGCACCCTTTGGGAGTATGCACCACTCATCCTGCCCACCCCAAACACGAACAGGAAGGGTGAGGAATCCCACCCCCAGAAGAAATGACTGTGGGTACTTTTAACCTGGAAGAGAAGTAGTTAGCTTTTAGCCAGGCAGCAGCATGCATGTGAAAGCTGATGGACAGATGACTAAGGGTGACAGTGCGATGGGCAGTCATTTAGGATAAAATACATCCTGCATCCCTGGGGGCAATTCTTTCCTTTTACAGGGCAAGCTGATGGATGGTGGGGGAGCTCTCAATCAGCATAGGCAGGGGCGGTGGCAGAAGCAGGACCCCCTTCTAGAAATGAGGGCATGAGAAATGCTGAACTGAAATAAACCTGGCCTAAATCTACCTCTCTACTTAAACAATACGTTTGGCCCAAAGTAGACTCAGTACATACCGACCTGTACCTTAGCTTGAAAGTGTAACCTAACCTCAGAGTGCACTTCTGTAGCCAAGCAACTAAGTCTCAGCCAATCAGAGCAGCTGGATTTCCAGCTAATCAGAGGCTGAACGCTGCAAAAACATGATCCTACAAGGCAGCTACTGATGGCAGCCAATCAGGTTGTTTCTATATGTCATTTGCTTTTCTACGGCGACAAATATAACCTGCACGTGGGATGGGGCGAGCATTGACCAGGGGCCAGAGGCTAGCGGGGCGCATTCTGAACCATCCTTGGTCTCGAATTTTTCTTGCTCAAGTCGATTTTGTAAATTTTTCTGGCCTCAGTTTCTTTCTGCATAAGGAAGGGACATCTGTGGGGAGGGTGGTTTGAGGGGAAGTTGACCTGTTGAGGTACAAATCCTGGAAGGCTGCAGCTCTAGGCCCTGCGTGGGAAAGCCCAGCAACCAATAACCAGCAGTTTCCAGCTGCTATGTGAGCTTCCAGTCTGTGCAGAGCCCGCTCTGTCCTGGGCCATCTGCTCTCAGCAGAAGCAACTGTGGGAGAACAGGGAAGAGTGTGGGGAGGGAGGTAGAACTGCTGGCGAGCCGTGCAGGTGCTTGCAACATCCCCGGTCACATTCTTACAGGGATGAAGCAGGTTTAACTCCAGAGAGTGAGGATGCATTCCTCAAGGGCTTGCTGAAAGTGAGGTTTTGCTCGTCTAAAGACTGGTGTCCTAAGTAAGACTGCTGTTAATTAATCATGGGGCCTTGAGTGTGTCCCCTATCCTTCTGAACATCCAATTCCTCTATATGAGACAGACTCAGGAAATGAACAGAACTGTTGTTAGATCAAATTGATCATTCATACTTTGAAAATTGTAGGATGGAGAGAAGGTCATCATTTGTGAAATAATTAAAAGGGACAAGCCGGGTCATCAACAGCAAGGGTTAATTAGCCCAGGGCTATTTACTATCACTTAGAGAGCGTACTATGTACCCTCAGATTCTTCACGTTGCTGTTCCAGTTTCCTGATGAAGAGATTAATGAACCAGATGGGTGTTGTGTACTAGAATCGCATTATAAGGGCGATCTGAGCAGAAAGAAATTCTAGTAGTCAGATGGGGAAACTGAGAGCTACCTAACTTGCAGGGCTTGCCCATAGGCACTCTGATGGACAGTAAGCCTGCATCTAGAGCCCAGGTCAGACTGGCCATGTCACACATTGTCCTGCCCATACACTGGACTTCCTAGCTGGTGGTGTTGGCTAAGCAGAAGGGAAATAAGATGTCAAAATTATATATCCTGATTAATCCCATAAAAATTGGATTGCAGAGACAGGTACCGAATGAAACATAGATCTGCTGTCATCTAGCATTCATTAGAATTTCTGAATCTTATAAACATGTCAAGACTCACTAACATAGTCAGCTAGGGAAAATAAATATAATACTTCACCACCTATGTAGCTTATTTTGACAAGCGTTTGCCATAGTGAAGGTGTGTTTTCACATATGGTATGTGTCCTTTACTCACTGTGTGTCATTTCTCCATCAAAAGAAATTTCTAAGATTATAGAGAGATAATAATTTCCTAGAGATAAAAAGTCTTAACAAACTGGGCATAGTAAGGACTTACCCTGCCCCATGGAGAGCCAGACTGATAAAGAAGATGATGAAAACATGGTGTGTATACCAGAACAACTCGTAGGACACCTGTCTGATGAACTCAGTAGAGGAGGTCATGAGCAGGATCAAAGCCAGCGAGAGCACCAGGCCAGTAATGCCTGCTATTGTCGTTAGCAACTCAATGACTGGGTTCTGAAAGAAATGAGCAGCGTGACATTAATATCTCCATACACTTTTCAATGTTTAGGCTCAATACTTGAGAGTTCAAGCTGGGAGCCATTCAGAGTGTCTCACTCCAAAGCACATTAGCCTCAACAAGGCTCAGGGCACAGTTCAAGACGTGAGCTTCCTTCTCCTTCTCTCTCCCTGCCGTCTTATGGTAGACATCACTCTGGTCAAACCGCACGAAACACCATGTCAATAACTGCATTTTTCATTCATATAAATCAATTCTCATGTCAAAATGATTATGTTGAATCAAAAGTAAACAATATCTGAAAAGAGCATTTTAAGAGAGAATGCTGCAAAATAATTCCAAGTTTTACATTTTTAATTTTTAAAATAACAATCTGAATCATCATGCTTAATTGCATTTGAACCGTAATACACACACTTTCTGAGGAGTCTGTTGGGCATCCTTAGTACAGCAGGTGCTCATTCCTTGTGCTCCTTCCTAACTGGAAAGACCATGACTTGCAAATTTCTTTCACGCCACCTCAGGGGGCCTGGAATAAGGCTTGGTAAAGCCTAGGTGATCCATAAAGGTACAACTCTTCTTATCTGGTGGATATGACAAAAAGCCCAGAATTCTGGCCTGTGAGTACAAGGGACAGTTAAATAGCCTTTCAGAATATGAGTCACAAGGCATTTGTTTTTATTGCGAGCTTTCTGCAATCTTACCAAGTCATTAGTATGCATCCATTGTCTTCCTATTGAGACGACCATAAGCTCAATAAACTCACACTATATCTTTTGTCAGTAAAACCTCATTAATTTGGGCTGCTTTGAGATCTGGAGGTAATTTGGACAGGGACCTCTCTGTTGTTTATTTTTTCTTCATGGAGCAAAGATGGAAGTAAAATTGAAAAGGGTATGTCTAAAACATTTAAGTTTTTTTTTTCAGGTACACTCAAGTGTTCTAGAAATCCATTTCTACCATAGGGTGTGCTAATTTCAAATCATTCTTTCTTTGCTTATTAAGGCAAATCTCTACGTCTCTCTTTGAATCCATTCATAGACTGGCTTGAGTTTTGTGGTATCCTCTCAAATCATCTCACTGTATCATTCAGAACATTCTATAATGTACACTTTGTGCTGTTGATACTCATTTTTTTCTCCAAAGATCGCAAATTAGAGGGTTTCTTGAGCTTAATTAGTAGTTGCACAGTATATTGCTTCTGAAATTGTGAAATAACTGTATAGGGAGTAGCTTAATGATCTGGCTCAATTGCTTTAAAAGTATTTCTAATAAATACTATTTATTATACAGTCTCTTCAAAATGTTGGGATTTATTCCTGGGTTTGTGTAGTAATACATTTTGTGAACCTTAGCAGGGGACTCCCTCCACCCCAACCCCATTATTAAGTCTAGGAGGTGTCCAGATGCATGCTGGGACTCAACTGAGTGATGCTAAAGGCGTTCCCACAGGCTTAGGGCATCTGTAGTTTTGATGTATAACGTGAAATTTGTGCTTCTAATTGCTGTCAGCTAAGAAGAGGTAGTTCAATGTGATCAATGGCCTGATATTGAAAAAACCCCTCAGAATAATTAGGGTGCATGACATCAGAGTCTCTCCCAAAACATACTTGGAGTTTCCTTTCTCCAAATAAAGCTAAATGGGCAAAGTGATCACTTAAAGAGACAGTCCAGATAATAATGGAGAGATTCCCTTTATTGGAATGTATTGCCTTAAGGTTTGGGAAATATAGATTTTTTTTTAAACCTGGTCAACATGATGGTAGTTGACCAAATGGTAGTGCATGGGAAAAGGTTTGGATCAAACACAAAGCAAGAGATAGGGGTGGAGTGGACATTTGACCTAGTAGCTTTGATAGCCCCATACGCTGCATCAGAGCACTGGGGTTTGAGTCTTGACTCCTCTCCTGATTCCGGCTTCCTGTTGTGTGTACCCTGGGAGACAGCAGGTGAGAAGCAGATCAGTAGTCCCTGATACCCATGTGGAAGACCCGGATAGAGTCCTAGATTCCCAGCTTCAGCCTGGCCAAATCCTGGCTATTGCAGGTGTTTGAGGAGTGAACCAATGGACAGGGGCTATGTCTTAGTCTCTCTGCCTTTCAAATAAATAAAATAAGTAAATTAAAATTAAAAATACAAAGGAAGGGGTAGGAGTGGACTAGTAAAGGCAAATGTTTTATTTCTTAAAGTGGCTTGATGTGTTCAGTTTTCTTCCCCGCCCCCACAGGTGCTGTCACTGTGTGTACACAGGTAATTAGCATTAAGAATGTCCCTAGCAATGCCAGTCTCATTATAAAATTAGCTACTCTGCTCAGTGTCTGAGTTGGCAAACCAGCTATTCACATGTGTGCCAAAGTATGAGGCACAGGGGAAGAGATCCAGAAAACAATCTGCAAATTGAAAAGGAAGACATCCAATTTATAAACCCTGGGTGAAGATGGCACCTCCGGGACAGGCATTGTGGTATATAGCATGCTGAGCCATCGTTTGCAATGCCTGCATCCTGTTACCAGAGTGCTGGTTTGAGTCTAAGCTACCCTATTTCCAATCCAGCTTCTTGCCAATGCATTCTGGGAGGTGGTGCATTGATGACTCAAGAGCTGCAACCCACATGGGAGATCCAGATGGGGATCCTGGCTCCTGGCTTGGGCCTGGCCCAGCCCTGACTGTTGAGGGCACTGGGGTGAACAGAAAGTAGGAGATCTCTCTGTCTCTTTCTGCCCTGAAAGTGGATGAAAATAAATGGATAAGTATTTTTAAAAAACCAAGTTGACACCTCATAATCTTTTATGACTCTAACATCAGCGAAAAACTATCCAAGCATGAGATGCTTTTAATATTTAAAATATTAGAGCTTGAACAACTTATTGTATTTCCTACTTTCATTTTGGTGTTGCTATAAGCTAGTTAAGTGACATATGTTCCCCTCTTGCTCATAACCTCTCAGCAACATTAATGGTAGGAAAAAAAAAAAAACTTTAAAAAGATGAAATTGATGGTACCTTTTGGCAGGAACTCATCCCCAGCTCTCTTATTAAAAGCTTTTGATATATGGCGTTCCTGAGAAAGTGATGGGGAAAGGAAGGCTTTTTGAGATGAGAAACTAGTTAGGCAGGAACTCACTGTGCCGGCGGTCCGGATGGGGTTGAGGTAGCTCTCATTTGGGCTGTTGCCAAGTTTGGAAAGTGCAGCCGGAAGTCCAGGGGCCTCCTCCGATTGGCTCAAGTGGTAGCGCTCCAGGTTGAACAAATGGGCCACGATGTGGATGGCTAAGGATGCAGAGACAACATCGGACACACACCATATGGGTCTCTTCCTTTGCAGTAGCTCGACAACACACTGCGTCTGTGTTCAAGTTTCTGTGTGCTGCTTTTACAAACCCCAAAGAAGAAGATTTATTTGTGCATCTTTCCTAGTGTCTCGAATGGAGTGGATTGAACACGTCTGAAGATGTTGTATGAGTCACCACATTCATTTTAATTATATTCAGAAATAAAGTAAATCTCAACTCATCAGGATTTAATTTTAGACATATGATCATCCTGCAAGTGGAATGGGTCTAAGCAATATGTCAACATAATCATATATGAGACATAATTCTTGAGGAAGGAACTATATATAATTGTAGATATAAAACTGATTTCCTTAAAGAGTTAGAAAGCATTATTCTAGAATTTTGTACATCATACACACTGTTAGATGTGTTTATGAAATACATGATAGGCACCAGGGGAGATGCTGTTTTTGTTCTCATTCAGACATTATAGTTTCTATTCTTCCCTTTATGTATTTTAGAACATATGTTTATATACCCCTCCACAAACACTGACATATTTGCATGTGTTATTTCTACTAGATTGAAATAAGTCAGTATTTATGGAGCTAAACATAACTTCTCTATGTTTTTCTTTTCAAAAAATTTATTTCCTTATGTGCAAGTGCTCAAGGCAGAGAGAGGGAGAGGGAACTTCCATCCCCTGGCTCACTCCCCAGCGCCCGCAATGACAGGTGCTGGGCAAGGAGCAGGAGCTGGGAGCTCCGCCCAGGTCTCCCATGTAGTTGGCGGAGCCCAATCACCCCTTAGGGTGCACATTAGCAGGAAGCTAGATCAGGCGTAGAAGCCGGGAATCCAGTTCAGATCCTCCAATGTGGAGCACAGGTGTCTTAACAGAAAGGCTAAACACCTTCCCCTGGCAATGTTGTAGTTCTAAATGATGGAAAGAACTCCAGAATGCAGCAGGTTCATCTTGAGGATTCTGTGTCTGGTGCTGCTCTTGTCTGTGAAATCTGCCAGGAATCCCACAGTCGCAGTCCCTGGGTGATGACATACTGCAAATGGGACCCTGGCTAGGCGGCCGGTTGATACCCACCATTGGGATCAGATTTGAGCGTGAAATAAGAATCAACTACCCAGGCATACATAATTTCCCAGTGGGTATCTGTCTGTTTCTTCCATACCCACAGAGAGAGGCAGCAGAGCCTGGTACTATTATACAAGTTGTGGGTGACTTATGGGATCCTCTATGGCTGTGGGTCGAGATATGGATGAGTGAGAGGAGAAAGGGAGCAGAAGAAACTTCTAAGAGCATTAGTTCTGGTCCCTCTGGTCCCTGTGGTCCTAGTGGCACATTTGCTTACAAGTGCCTTTTTCCATTCAGTGTTTCTCCGTTACTTGAGTTCCTTCTTATCAGATCCTTTCCTGCCTGGCAAAATTCTAACCATGCCCTAACACTCTATTCAAAGTGCATAACAGCACCTCTACATCTGTGATGTTTACTGCCTCCTTATGAGTTCAATGCACTTCCTCCTTAACACACCTTGGCCATGTCTATGAAGGAGCTTTCTGGTTTAATAGCAGCATCCACAAAGCTAGTCTTTTCTGATGTGATACATACAATGGGAACCATTTCCTAAATCGAATACAAACATTGTCCAGCATTCCTAATAGCTGGTTTCTGATAACCACCCAAAGTCTTTGAGAAACAGGTATAATTTTCATAACTAACATATTTGATTGACAAATACACAACCTGACGATGTTATAAATGCTGTTGGAATGTCACCCAATACAACCTTCACTTGTCAGTCCTATTCCCATTTTACAGACCAATATTCTGAACAAAAAAATTGAGACATTTGCTATGCATTAACGACAAAGATGGGGTAAAAGCCTGTCTGTGACTTCAGGGCTTCATATTTTGATCTTTAACCTCTATTGCTTCTTTTGAGTCATCAGAAATGGTCACATCTTACTTGTTGACTCAAAACTAATTTCTCCTTTGGGCTTAGAAAAGCTCTTTGAATGAGTCATTTGGTGTCTTTCATCTGGAGTCAAACTGTCCCGAAGGCTCATGGTTGATGGTGACATTTGGATCCTTACAGGCTGGGTGGGTGGTCTTTCCACGTTTCATCCTTCTACCTCCTCCTCTGCCCCAGCTCTGTTCACTCTGCGACGAAAGCACTGCAGACAGGGAGCGGAGCTGTTCCCATTTGCAGGACTAGCAACGGAGCTTCAGATTAAATTCAGTGTGTGCTTTGCCATTGTGTGATCCATAGGCGATAGCCAGAAAGGGGATACAGAACAAATTCCTTGTCTTTTATGCTATTCTATATTTCATAACATTCTTCTCCTGTGTAATGAGTTGTTGATCACAATCTGTTTTCTATTAGATTGATTTCCACATGAGAATTTGACACTGTTAAACTAAATTTAAGCACGTTGATTGAATGAACAAAGATATTGAACTATTTATTTATTCCTCTTGCCAGGTGTCTCACAACAGAGCTGGAGACGCTAATGGAGTAGTCTCAGGAAGGCCGAGAAGCTGCTCGAGAGGGAGCTCCTGAGGGAACTGTGGAAAGCTACTCTCTCCAGTGCTTCTGCCAAGCCTTAAAATTCGTGTCTTAACTGTTCCTTTGCCTCATCTACCTCCATTTTGCTTTCTTTTTCCAGGTTTAAGACAAAAAGTAGATTTTTAAACGATTTCAGCAATGCCCAGACTGAAAACTGATTTTGCCCATTTTGTTAGTTAAACTGCTGCAGTTTGCTCTTAGAGCTGATCTTAGCGTGATGTAACCTCTGATTGGAACTTAAAATGTGCCGGCTACTAAGCCCAGGGCTTTTTGGACTTGATAGATACTGGAGAGGCAGAAATAGTATTTTTTTCTGGAAATTATATTTTCTACTCTTTTCTTTATTGGTTTGAGTCTTTTTAATGTGAAGAACATACTGTCTGTGTTGCCATGACAGTTACCTTAGAGATGTGATAAAATAGTTACAAGGTTTGATTTTTCTCTTGGCCATCGTGCGTTTCCTGTTGATAGGACTGTATGTCAGTAGGTAGCAGAAGGAATGCTGAAGTGGCTACTCAGCTACTTGACTCTTTCTGTCTCTGTTTTCTCTCCTGAAAAATGGGTGGTCTGGACTAAGCTACCGGGTATCTAAGCTGTGTGGCTCCCGAGTTTTCCTCTGCAGTTAACTGCAAACATTTACCATCTCAAAGGAATCTGCAGTCGAATACGGAAGTAATACAAACTCAAAACTCCTGTTTTAATGTGTTTTGAGTTAATACCGGCCTACAAGGGGCCTCGGTGTGGTGGTAAATCCAATGGCATCAACCTCCCAGCCACGCTCTTCCCTGTGCCTCTGTGACCTTCTCCTGTCTCCCACGGCTGTGTCCTTGGAAGAGCCCACGACGCGCATTCCAGAACCCGCTCAACTGTGCAGGGACAAAAGGTGCTAGGTGTGGGTCTTTCTGTGCTTTTCTCTCCAAAGTACTGTTAAAAGACGGCAGCGATGCTGGAAACACTACACACGTGCATTTAATTGGTGTGTGAGTTCAAAGAAGGACCTTTTATTGAAGGGTGAACAATAACAAGGAAAAACTCATAAAGGCTACAATTAGAGCCCGTTGCCCTGAGAAATCTCCTTTTAGTTCCTTCCTTCCTCTCTCTCTCTCATTTTTTCAGGAGATCAGAGGGAGCAGGATGAAGGGGATCCCTGGAAGTGTATTCAGACCTTGCTGTATTTCTGCCTGCCAGTACTGGGGAGTCAGTCACCTCATAATTGAACAGCTTTTTAACACCAAGAACCAAGGGTTTATGGCCAGAATGTGGCCCAAACTTTCAGATTTGTGGTCTTATTTCTGCAGGAAGACCTGTGGGCTCTGACCCCCTGTGGATGCCGCACTTTTGTCAACTGCTTGAAATCCTGGAGGCAGGAGCTAGAGACCGAGCTGGCTGGGAGCTCCCTCACCTCACCTGGAGCTGCCAGGAGTGACCCTTGATGGAGCAGAACTCGAAGAACTTGTGCCTTTGGGGCTGCTCTCCACCATGGGGCTTCCAAATCTTTATTTTCTCTCTGGTCCTTCCTCGGAGCTCTCTCCTCTCTATCTGCCCCTAGTCTGCTTGTTGATGTTGGTAAAGTAATTTTGGCAACTCAACAGGAGCTGCCTTTGGGCCGATTGTTCACCCCTGCAACCCGGCAGATGTACACTGCGGAGTTTGCCAGAGGAGCGTTCCTGGATCACGACACTCCCCTTTGATGGACGCTCAGGTGTAGAGCACTACTTTTGCATTAGAAGCGGCTTCAAGATCTACCGTGGACCAGGGAACCCAGAAAGATCCGCGTTAATAAGAGTGGAGAGGCTGCAAGATGCACTTTTTCTACCGGCGGGGTTGTAGGTCTCTGAAAATGATTTATTAGTGGTTGAAGCTGCTCGGGCAGCTGCTCTCACAGGCCGGCAAGCAGGAAGGCAGGAAGCCAAGAGAAGCAGTGCTCCTGTCCCTGCGTTTGGGGCGATGCCCTTGATCACAGATAGCATTGCTGTCGCCTTTTCTCTCCTCCTCCCTAGCCTGCTTCCGCCAGTCGCTAATTACATCCTTTAATGATTTGACCAATTAAAGCCTGCAGTTCAGCTTCGAGGGGGAACGGATGAGAAATTAGAGCCCGGCACGCACGCAGCCTTCGATGCGGGTGCACTTCTTTCAAGGTTACACACCTCTATTAAGCCAGCGGGCTGTTTGGGAAGCGAGGCTAATAAAGCAAGCGAAGGGGCTTTGCAGCTGCTCCCCAGTGAACACGCCAGGAGGACGCAGTGCGCGAAGCAACGGTGCAGCTATGGAAGCAGGGCTTTGCATTTTTCCTCCTCAAAGTGCTGCTGCCAGCCGCATTTCTTAGTTAATGTGGAATGCAGTAATTGCTTTGTCAGGGCCCGGGCGCCGCAGAGAGCTTTCCTCCCACTCGCCTGCCTTGGCCGGGCAGTGGAGCGCTGGTTGCCATGGAGGAGCAGGACGAGGGGCGCTTTGCTCTCGGCCCTGCTAGGGGAGCCCCGGGAGATAGACCCACGCTGGCAAAGCAGTGAGGGTTCTGGAGGAAGAGAGCTGGAAAGCATACTTGATCCTCTCCAGGGATTGGAGAGGGAAAGCTCCAGAAAGAACGCTGTTTTTTTTTTTTTTTTTTTTTCTTGTGGCAACAGAATGTGAATTTATTCTCTCGCTGACCGGCGTCACTTTAAATCTCTTCCCTACCCACACTGCTCCCTGCACAACTCACGGGCCTGGGGTCTTGTGCCTTCCCCCAGTGCTTTCTCGAGCTGCTTTCGCCCACTGCTGACTCACACCCGGAGGCATAAGGCACAGTCCCAGCCCTCAAGGGCATCAGGTCTGAGGAATTCACCCCAGGGTAGGAAGCAGGACAGGGGACCTGCTGGGGGGGGGGGGGGCTGCATCCTGCCCAGGAGGACGAGGCAGTGGGTCGTGGATATGGTGTCCCCAAGGAGAGCTGCAGCATTTGAGGCACAGAGCATCCCATGGGCGAACACACAGAATGTTCTGGATACTTTCCGAAGGGAAACGGGGAGGGGTGCACCGTCAGGATGAGACTAGAGTAGGAGCAGAGGGGCTCCATCAGCAGAGCAAAGAAGTCTTGATTGGCTCTTATCTGGGCCAGCAACCAGCCAGTGGCCTTGTATCCTGCAGAGTTCCAAGCAGGGCGGGTCCTGACAGTGATGGGCTCATCTCATTGAGATGGCTAGATCCTATTATTGTTTATTTTTAATTCCAAGGGAAAAGGTCACCAGGAACTTAATCTGAGATCACACAAGCAATCCGTGGTGAGGGTATAAAATAACTCGGGCACCTGACTCTTGTCAGGGCTGTCATCTGCAGTCATAGGCCATTCCTGGACAGCCTGCCCACACTGGTTTCAGAAGGCTATAGCTCCTAGCAGGGTGCTTTGCACCTGGGAGACAAAATGCTGTGTTTATACCATCAGTGTGTGATTACAGAAACAGAAATATACATACCCAAAGGCTTAAGGAGAAAGCTATTTCATGACACCCATTTCGCTCTATTCTTTCCTTCCTTTTATGATATGCTGGGATGCTGAGTTCTTCCCCTCTCTTGCTATAATATCTTTATAACTTTCCTTAGAGTGCAATTCTGCCTCAAAGCTATTGCACAGTGATACTGTTCTCCGTGCCATTTTGTTGTGTTGTGTCTTCCCTTTTAATGCAGTAATAAAGGAATCTTAAGGTGTGAAGCCTAGAGATCTGTTACATTTCTTCTCTGTTTAGCCTACCAAGGAGCAGTCTGGCCTTCACTCACAATGGGGAGCTCACTACCCTTATTCTAACTTTCCGGAATTTCTAAGGTTTGGAAACGACGTCCCTTCGATGTGCCTTCGCCTTTGCTTACTGATCAAAAGTCAGGAGCACCTGTATGTCTCAGACTGGAATCTGAGACTGGATCAGCCTTGCTGTTTGCCCCCGCCCCTCCAGCTGGCTCTCTGGGACGTGAGATGCTATTCCTTCACAATCCACAAGGCCCTTTTGCAGAACGTGTCTGGGGCTGGTTTGATCTGGCATTGAAGACAATCAGTGGGGAGCATCTCCCCCTCGTGTCTCGGTGCACACCCAAAGTTGTGTTAATTGGCACTCGGGCACCGTCTGTCATGTCTTGTTGCTTAATTAAATTCACATTTGTTTTGAGAGTTCCTTTTACTCTGCTATTTTTTATGCATGAGAGGATAAAAACAAATGAGGAAAACATTTTATAGTTAAATTAGTTTGAGGAAACAGTCCCGAATCGTAACTCTTAATCATTCAGAGAGTCTTTTATTTCAATGTCTTTGTTTTCCAAGCGAACCACAAGCCAGTTGATTACTGACCCTCTTCTGTTCCTCTTCCTCATAGTCTAAACTTGGCCTTGGATGTTGATTTCTAGTGCCTTCTTTTTTGAATTAGAAATGCAGTAATAACACTTACACTGTAGGTAACCATAAAGCTTCCTATCTTTTCTAGATCCTTGTGCATCCAATGGCTCAATGCTGCTCAGTACCTTGCTCATATGATCTTTCTTTCTTTCTTTTTATTGCCCATGACACCATGTGATAGTCATTTTCCTATGACCCTGAATGAGAGTTAGGGCATAGGCCAATTTTATTCCCAACGTGCATTGAATTGCTTCGACTACGAATGTGTTCACTTTTCATGGAGGTATTTATCATTGCGTTATTGACAAGCCTGCTTATTCACCAATGAAAATAAAGTTCGACAGCTTTGCTTTGTTGCATTGAGGTCCTGGTAGTGGAACATTGATACAGGAGTACAAATCACAAATAAAAAATCCTTTCATCTAAGTGTTCTGTGGCCAAATGAATGGCAAAGGTTTCTTCTACCTAAGGTGAGACATAGTGGTGTGGATATCATTAAAACAGAGCTATATCAGACATTGCAAAATCCATCAGGCAACAAATGAGTACTTACCTGCACTAACAGCTATTCCATAGGCGACTAACTTGTGGAATTTGAGGTTTTTGTCTAGTTGCCTTCCCCATGGTCCTCTGCAGCACTAGAGTAAAAAATAAATAAATCAAAGCCTGATATAAGAAGTAATCACGGTGGTAACAATATCTTGAGACCTGAGAACATAGGACTCAGGAGCTGCTTCTAAATTTGCTTAAGGTGGGGCCACATGACACAGAAGTTAGTGGCCATTTGTCAAACAGCAAAGTAAAAGGTTATTCCTTGATTTGCTGAAATTTTACCTCAGTAAAAATTACTGAATGAGCAGTTCTCTTGCTATATCTCAAAATTCTTGAATAAACATGCCTCACTCAGCTTCTTTATCTAGATAATGCAGGTGATAACCGCTGTCGCTCCCCCTCTTCATGGAGGAACGACACTAAGCCCTGCCTAGGCTTCCTATCCGAGTCACGGCACCATTATGTCGCTCCCCCTCTTCGTGGAGGAACGACACAGGACCCTGCACTGTTCTTTCGTCTGCTCGGCCCTCACCGGGTTTGCTGCTGGTTCTTCGTGGGTTGGCTACCATCCCTTCCACCTCCGTGGAAGGGCGGTTCCCCCTGCCACTTTCCCCACTTCCGCAGGGGAGCGGCACACGGCCGGCTCTCTCGGGGGCTGCTCAGGTGTTCCTTCAGATAGATGTTCCTGGTGCATGTTGTCTCTCTCCTCCTTTATAGTCCTCTTCCACCAATCCCAACTCTGCTACCCACACGCCGAGTACGCTGCTCTCCTCCAATCAGGAGCAGGTCCTGCTGTTTATTGGTTGAACTGGAGGCAGCTGTGTAGAAGCTGTTTACTCCTCTCCCAGCGCCATATTGTGGGAGAGCAGATGCATAGAATAAGTCTTAATTCGAGTAACAGTCTAGTCTGAGTTGCTCCCCACAAACTGCCATCCTCATCTGTGTGGTTTAAGTTGTCCATAAATTTTCCTTATTATACAAACTCAGGTACCATACACAACTATATCTCATATTCATAAAACCTCATGATGATTATAGAATAAATTATTTCATATGGCAAAAATTGTTGGAGGTCTCATTTTCTGTACATTATTCTGTTCAACAGGAAACACAGCCGAGTACCCAAAGAGTGGAATCAATGTAATGAGGAAATATCACTCTATGTCTATTAGCAGTTAAAATCCACATATGGGGGCCAGCACTGTGACATAGCTAGTAAAATCACCGCCTGCAGTGCCACATCCTATATGGGCACCTGTTCGAGTCCTGGCTGCTCCACTTCCTATCCAGCTGCCTGCAATTGGCCTGGGAAAGCAGTAGAAGATGACCCAAGTGTTTGGGCCCCTGCACCTGTGGGGAGACCCGGAAGAAGCTCCTGGCTCCTGGCTTTAGATCTGCCCAGCTCCAGCTGTTGTGGCTATTTGGGGAGTGAACCAGCGATGGAAGACCTATCTCTCTACCTCTATCTCTACCTCTCTGTAACTCTGCCTTTCAAATAAATTAATTAATTAAAAAATAGAATCCACATACTAAAGTCTATGTGTTGTGAATAGGGTATTTGGTGTTGTGGTTGAAATGCCCTGTGGATAATGCATTTTATATGAGAGTATCTGGGTTCGAGTCTCAGCTCTGCTTCTGATTCCAGCTTCTTGCTAATATACACCCTGGAGGGCAGCAGGTGATGGCTCAAATACTTGGGTCCTTTCTACCTATATGGGAGGCCCAGACCCAGTACATGGCTCCTGTTGTGGGCATTTGAAAAGTGAACCAGGCAGATTGCAGATCTCTCTTTCTCTCTCTCTCTCTCTCTCTCTCTCTCTGCCTTTCAAGTAAAAGAAAAATAAGTAAACATTTATATTCTGTGTATCGTGATTGTGATTGTCTTTTCTGAGGGTAAAAACTCAGAGGACTGTTTCCCGAGTGGCATTTATCTCAACTGCTTGTCTTTCTTCTATCAGAAATGGTAATGGCTTATCTTTTTCCATTAGGAAAACCTAAGCAGTGACTACACTGCCATGTAGAAAGTCAATGGCAAAAGCCAAATCAGTTGTACCACTTCCTGATTTTCAGTCATAGCCATTCTGTTCTCTCTTACAAAGAAACAGAGGTAAGTTTAAACAGGATTACCTGGAATCTCACAGTAAAGTACACCCTTGTTTTCAATAGCACTCATATTAGTCATAACAACTGGAATTATAGCCAATACTTGCTACTTACAGCGCTTGTTCCTCTCACGAATGAAATGAAGTTTCGGCTGACGGGCAACAGGATTAACATGCAGTTAAAATTCAGGCACAGTGCAGATGCTTTTGCCCAAGCCAGTGTCGACTTCCATATAGAGAAACACAAAAACAAGACGTACAGTTCAAAGGAGGAAGCCGGGAAAATAGGATGTAGTTTAATTTCTGAAATAGTCATCAGTTCTACTTACCCCCAAAATAACTCGTGTGTAGAGAAAAGACTCCTCCTCTTCATACCAACGGAATGTGACCATAAAGAGATACAAGTTCATTCCCAGCCACAAGAGCTTGAGTACAAGGCAAAGAGAACCAATCAGCACCATCTTCAAATTTTCCCCTTTTAAAATCACTTGGCGTCCTTGTTTTTTTCAAGGTGGAGTGAAAAGTTCTCAAATTAATCAGACTTACTCTCTGTATTCTTTCCTTACAGGTTAGATTTTAGCAGTGATTATAACAGTAAGAAATTTTTAACTTCATAAAAAGATTTTACGCACATACGTGTGAGCATTAAGGGAGATAATGACAAGTACCCCACCTTCCTCACCTTGACAATGATATCAAGAAGGAAGAAATATTTAAAAACAACTTGAAGAGTGCTCTAGAAAAATCCCAGTGTCATAGTCTAATTTGAAGACTTCATTTGATTTAGAGAAACATTCATACATTATGCAAAAACAACTACTTGACTTTAAAAATAATTAAAAATGAACTCAATCGGAAAACAACTTTGCATGATTCTATAAGGCTAAATTAAACGTATCTGCTGAATGTTTTCTAACAAGTTTTCGTCTTTTACTAGAGTAATACTTCAAGCTATTTAGCATTTCTATACAAGCTACCAAAAATTAAAACAACATCCTATATTTAAAGTTGAATAAGAAAAATAGTACTTACTACTACTATGATGGGGAGACTTTCATTCAAAACCCAACACCCCATCATGACACTTGTGTTCTGTCAGCAAATCATTCCTTTCATTCACCTGAGCCCCAATGCTTTATCCTTAGTGAGGGCTTCCCTAAGAAATGATATCATCTTTTTGTCTTAGGAAGCACCTACTGGGAACAGCTCTCCTGGAATTTCTAATTAAGGACTTCTTGCCAAAGGCACATCACCGAGCTGACATGCCTCATGACCTGGGTAAATACAAGACAAGTCTCATCCGATGATTCCATTCTTCAAAGACTTCAGAAGAAAAGAAAGCTCGTTTTATTAAATTGTCCTCGTGTACTTTATCCCCCCATTCATTTTCTACATGATTACAGTCAAGATGATAATAAGTCTTTATGTAAATTTGAGAAACACCCCAGCCGGTGAAAGGCTGCACACAGCAAAGCACTGCCACTGGAGAGCTCTCTACTGTGTTTATTTTTACTTCTTCTTTTCCCTCTTTCAACAAAAGTCTCAACAGCAGATACAGAATCAGGGCTAAATAACCATGGATTAAACACTCTCTAGAAGATGGTGAAGACAAAAAGATCCATTAAAAGAGACAGGAAAATAATTGCAAATCTAAAAGCATGACTATTAAAAAAAGTACTTTTTTGTGGGATTGATGGGATCAATTTCATTTTTCCATTAATATCACTTGCACTCATGTGGCAGGTGGATATCCTCTCACACCTTCTGGATTCCAGGAGTGTCTACTTGTGAGGCTGGTCAGCCTTTGATTTTTGCTACTTGTTAAATAGCGTGACTATGACTCTACTTCAGTAGGCAAAGTTGTCCTATTGAAGCATTTTTTTTTCCTTGTTAGTTCTGGTCAGAATATTTTGTTTAAAATATTTAGACAATTAAGATGATAATAAGAGATTCAAGTCATTTAGATAATTGCCCAAGCTTTCTATGTTTTCTCAGGGTGCATCTATTTGGTTGTCCCATAAACTTGACAACCTTGTAAGAATAGTAATTGTGAAGATTTGTTGCCCCATATGTATCCAGGCATTCTGTTAGGGACTTTTCAAGCATTGTCCAGATCACACAGTGTCTCTATCAGGGGCTGTGAAAAGCCCCACTACACAGATGTGGAAACAAACTTTGGTGACGTGACTGGAAGGAGCAGCAGCTGAGACTTGAATGCAGTTCTGTCTAACTTCAGCATCTTCATTTTTAACCTTTGCCTTCTGCTGGCTCTTTTATAAAATAGTACTATGTGTGTTTGTGTATCAACACATACTTAATATATGATACGAATTATAGTCTTATGGATCCGGCACATTTAAGTTATAGGTATTTATTTTTATTTACTTATTTTCACTTTGTCAGAAAGGCAGAGACAAAGAGAGAGACAGAGATTTTCCATCTACTGGTTCACTCCCAAATGCCTGCAATAGTCAGAGCTGGGCCAGGACAAAGCTGGGAGCGCAGAACTCAATCCAGGTCTCCCATGTTGGTGGCAGAGACCCCAGTACTTAGGCATCCAGCTGCTGCCTCCAAGCGTGTGTTTCCCGCCCCCAGAAACCTTTTTTTTTTTTATTCTTTTTTTTTAAATTTTTATTTATTTTTATTTATTTTTTTTATTTTTTGACAGGCAGAGTGGACAGTGAGAGAGAGAGACAGAGAGAAAGGTCTTCCTTTGCCGTTGGTTCACCCTCCAATGGCCGCCGCGGCTGGCGCGCTGCGGCCGGCGCACCGCGCTGATCCGATGGCAGGAGCCAGGAACAAGGTGCTTTTCCTGGTCTCCCATGGGGTGCAGGGCCCAAGCACCTGGGCCATCCTCCACTGCACTCCCTGGCCACAGCAGAGAGCTGGCCTGGAAGAGGGGCAACCGGGACAGAATCTGGCGCCCCGACCGGGACTAGAACCCGGTGTGCCGGCGCCGCAAGGCGGAGGATTAGCCTAGTGAGCCGCGGCGCCGGCCCCCAGAAACCTTTTATAATAAGGAATACAAACTTCATACAACTTTAGGAACACTGGGATTCTTCCCATCATACCCGCCTTCCCACCCCTCTTCTTCCTCCCAAGGATGTGTTTTAACAGGAGGCTGGATCAAAAGTGGAGGAGCCGGGACTCAAACCAGGCTCTCTGAGATGGGATGTAGGTGTCCCAGTGGTATCTTAACCACTGTACCAAATACCTTCCTCTCATTTATTAAGCATGAATAAATATGTTGTATGTGATCTCATGTACTATTTCTACATAATGCCAATGATTTGCAGGAAAACGAATTAAGTAAGTTATCTATTGTACAAGTCATTTAAAAAAAAAACTTGCTGCCATGTGTGAGGCTTTGACAACTTGGAGCCTGATGTGGTTTGAATGTGGCCCCCAAAGTTCATGTGTTGGAAACTTGATCCTCAGAGCCACAGTGTTGGTGGTCAGGACACGAGGGCTCTGCCTTCGTAAATGAACGAATGCTGTCATAGCGGGATTTAGCCGGTCATAAAAGGCCAAGGTCAGCCCCGTTTCGCTTTCTCTCTTGCTTTTGCATTGTCTTTGCACCGTGAGGGCCCTCTCCAGGCGCCAGACTTTGAATCTTGGGTTCCAAGCCTCCAGAACTGTGAGAAGTAAGTTTCTGTGCTTTAAAAATCACCCAGTCTTGACAGGGCCTTACAGAGGTGGGGAAGAACTGTCTCACTTGGGGTAGTTTGCTAAGTCCTAGTGGTAGCCAAAGACTTGCCCTCCAGCACCCCCTCAACATGCAAATCAAACAATCTCTCACACACCCATAGCTGCAACCACTTCCTTTATCTTACACCTCACCAACCTCCTCTCTGCCCTAAATCACCCCGGGGCAGGTGTTAGACTCCTGGGGGCACCGCTATCGTCTAGAGCCTGCTGAAACGGCTGGACCTTGGCAGTCCTAGGCCTGCTCTGCTTCTAACACTGCCTCGCCCCTTTCTTCCTGTGGAAGCCACAGGAAAGGCTCCGGCCCACATTTCGCCCCCTGCCCCTTTTGCCTCCTGGTCAACCCAGGTATTTCCTCCATGTGGCTCTGAGTGGCATGGGAAGGGAGTGGGCATCTCTGTTCTCGGGGACTGTAAGTAATGAACTCTTCTTTCAAAGTTGACGGCTGCATGTTTGTCATTTCACCATGGCTGATTAAAGTAAGTGCCAGCCACCGGGTTCTAGTCCCGGTCGGGGCGCCGGATTCTGTCCTGGTTGCCCCTCTTCCAGGCCAGCCCTCTGCTGTGGCCAGGGAGTGCAGTGGAGGATGGCCCAGGTGCTTGGGCCCTGCACCCCATGGGAGACCAGGAAAAGCACCTGACTCCTGGCTCCTGCCATCGGATCAGCGCGGTGCCGCAGCCGCGCCAGCCGCGGCGGCGGCCATTGGAGGGTGAACCAACGGCAAAGGAAGACCTTTCTCTCTGTCTCTCTCTCTCACTGTCCACTCTGCCTGTCAAAAAAAAAAATAAAATAAATTAAAAAAAAAAAATAAAGTAAGTGCCAGCTACAACTGAAAGACACCTATACTTTGGTATCATAGGTTAAAGCATTTTAACCAACAGATAAGCTTTCTACTTGTCATCCAGCCTCCACAGTGAGTTAAGCCTCAGTGTGCACATTTGTTAATGGGATTTACTATAAACCTACCTCACAGAGGCAATCCCATTTCTCTTTTACCTACATTTCCTCTTATGCACGTACACACACACACATACACACCACGCACAGAGCTGTCATAAACACACATACACTCAAGTTGAGTGATGCCTCTTATAGGGAAGTCTTACATTTGCCAATAAAAAATTTAGCAAGTGTCCCACTCCTTAGAAAAAGACATCATTTCACAGGAATTTTTCCCTCTAGATATATATAAAAGCACAGGTATTTTGCCAGCATTAACTTGAGATTAGAGTGCAGTTAGTAAAACACCTTCAGTCACTTCTTTTACAGTGAGCAACATAAAGATGTAAAATCTTCATGTTCATTTCTCTAAGCCAATAATCTTCCATGATGAAATGATTTGTTATTTCTGAAGTGTTTAGGATTTACATATCTTAGAGGCCTATTCAGTGGGGTTATAAAATTAATTCAGAGAGAATACATCTAGAATTTCATACTATCTCTCCTATTTTAGATTCAATGAGCATGAGGAAGAGCTACAATTTCAAGGCTTCTCCATAGTTTTACACATGTGAGACATATATTGCTGAATAGTTAGTGTATGGTCATTTTTTTTGTAGTTAATTATTTAGAATATTGTTAGTACTATGGTAAAAATATAATTTTGAATTCAGATTTAAACAATTTTTGTATACTCCATTGTGATTCTTAAAATGTGACTAGTTTATTCTTCATTTTGAATATGTGAAGAATATTGTGTTGAAGTGTAGCTATT